CAAGGAAAAAGAAGGCAAAACTGAAATGCCTTAAAACTGCATTAGGCATAATTATTCAGTACTAATGAATGAATGGATGAGTGAGTGAAGCTAAACCAAAAAGATGAAAAGTAAGAGAATTTAGGTCAGAACCTAAACAAATTTTTAAGGCATCTGTGGAATGCTAAGAATATCGAAGCATATTCGTTATGTGATTGAACTCGAGAGAAACAGACATCTTGTTCCCCTTCGATATTAATTCCTCTTTAAAATAACTATATACTGCTGAACAGTTGCGGATATAGCAGGCACCGCAAATTAGAGACGTTCTGCCTATGCAAACGGCTACAGGTGATGATCTCAACACACACACATACACACACACACACACCTCTTTTGTGTAAGGTAGATTTCCATATACTATTTATTTTGAAGTGATCTGTCAAACCAGACAACCAGCTGCTTAAGCTATATTCATATATCTTACTGGTGAAATCATGGACAGAATTTGTCCATCTTCATCGTTGGGTCGCCGTCAAGCCTGCGGTCTTAGCTGCATTTGTAAATCCTTGGCTTAAACCGTAAAAACACGGTTTGCTTATACACAACGATGACTGACAGATACCAGTCACCGGACTGATCACATCCTTTGCATTGTGTAGAAGTAAATCCACGGATTAGGTACAAAGCAGTGGTCAGGAGACAGTCCCTGTTGTGTACACACTCTTACATATCTTTCTCTGCCCTGTGGTTCTTGACGCCTGCTCGACTAGTTAACAACCTTCGCGCTTTGAGAATCAAAAATTAGACTCGGCTAAATTGCACGCAAATCGACAGCTGCCTTAAATGTGAAATAAGAGTACAGCTCCCATCATCACCAAGAAGACAGATTTATACACCTTCTGTAGAAACGCATGCAAATGCATGAACACCATTCCACCTAATACGATTTGGACAGTCGTAAAATATGTGATCACAGCTACTGCAAGAACAATTCTGCACCAAAAGATCCCGTTCTACTCGAGAACGAGTATAACATGACTCCATTGCGATTTCTTGTTGACTTGGCTTGATTTCTTCTCCTCATTACCATGTTCAGTCAGGCGATCTACCACGTTTTGTGTAGCTCAGAATCTTAGAGAATCATTTTCAAAAGTAACCGTTGCCTCTTCAGAACTGTAACATCCACACCACCATAACAAGCGTTTCAACACTACGTTTGAATAATACTAATCATATGCACAATATGAATGGTTTGAATAATAGGAAAATATACAGCACGTGTGAAAAATACGATTCCTGTACTACATGCATGAGTGTATACGGTATGTAGGATATCCCAATATGTGCAATGCAAATGTTATGAATAATACGAGTGAATCTTAAGGTGTCCGCTAATGACTTGGAAACTATCGGACGAGATCCTTTTCCTTTAATACTTTTTAAGTAATCAATGAGGATTCATGGAAGCACCCCCCCCCCTCCTCAAAGAATAAAAAAAGCGTACCTTCATCAATGAGACAGATCACGCCGAGAACCTTGACGGTGATAATGTCGCCTCGTTTTGCAACCTGCAACGTCAATCTTCGACTAATGAGATGTTAAGTCGCCTTTACTCACGTACTCGATCACCGATCTCACACACATCGATCGGATCGTTGTCCCCTTTCGTCTGCGTCTCGAAGTCCATATGTTTCGGGTTCTCCCAGGTCTGTGGAATCGCACCGTAGTTCCAAATGTAGCCGCGATGAGGAAAGCAGTTGTGCACGAAACGCAGCTTTCCTTTCTTCACGTCTTGCTTTATCGGATTCAGTTTCTCTTTGGTTGCGATCTGAAATCACAGTGCAAGAATGAACGACAAGAAGATGAAGACGATACCGATCAACAGAGAATTGCCAATTCAACGCTGTTCGTGAATGAAGAAAAGAAAAATGACATATTCGCTCTTCTCATGTTATTCTCTCAACGAATTGGTCAAAGAAACAACCGAATCCCTGAGGTAGAAAGAAAACTAAAACATCATTAACCGCAAAGCCAACTCTTGTAAATTCCATCAAATCATGGCTAAAGATCATAGCAGCCAGTAGATTACACACAAAGTCACAAGTATCAGTCAAAATGTACCTGCGTAATTTTAAACATGTGAAGGGACGAAAGAAGTGAATCTAATAAGAAAAGTTTATACTTTCAATTCTACAAATAAAATTTTGTAATTAGGGAATGTTCAGCAGCTAATGGCGAGGAGCAACTGTGACACGTCATCTGGGCGAGATATTCAGTCTTTACACATTAGTCATAAAGTATACCCAAAGATTGAGTATTACTAATTAAATATTATAAATACGAATATAAAAATAATAATGTTCATGCTTCAGAAAT